GTGCCGAGCTTGCAACAACTGTTGCCACCACGCGCTCGCACCTCCTCGTAGTCGACAAGCGACGTATTTCACTTGCTTGTCCGGAGGGATATCCATATACTCAAAGAATGTCTCCACAGCACGTTCCCAATCCAAGAAATCCTCTATGTGCAATTTTCCATCAAAAAACGGGATATCCATTTTTACCCGAAATTCACCAGATTGCCTCGGCCAAGCTTCATGCCGCTGCCGAGGGGGAGAAAAATATTGTTGATAACCTCCTTCACCTTGGTCCGAGACGTCATCTCGCTGTGGAAAGCCCGGTTCGACTTCCGAATCCGAAATCTCTGGCAACTCATTTCGCGTTCGTCGTCCTCCTCTACCCCGACGAGGAACTGCCCTATGGATTGGAGAAGCGGGTGGTTGCGGTAGATGGACATTACCGCCGCCGTCCTTAATGCTTTGAAACTCCAATCGCACTTCAGTGGTGAATCGACGAAACTCATTCTTGAGCTCCTCCAACTGTTTGATAATCAGGGATTGATTCGCCCACAGAGCGCCTTCGCCCTGATCGCCGTCAAGAGCGGGCCGTCTACTGCTCTCCGCCATTGCCGCTCCTTCCAAGCTCTGATACCAACTTGCTGTGGAAGCAAACAAGAGGAGAAAACAGAGAACTAGCAAGCCAATGTAACGGTAGAAATGCTAAGCAGCAAATTCGTTTTGATAATCAAAAAGTCTACTAGAACCCAAACTCCTCAGCCGCATATGAGCAGGGAGAGATACTAAGAAAGCTATAACAGAGAAAAAGGTAGAAAATGTCCTATAGTGCTAAAAGTAGTTAAGGAGGTAGTGGGAATAAGCACTCTAACGGTAAAAGAAGAGATACTTCCCAAGCCTAAACCTGCAGCACACCATAAGCTAAATGATACCACATCAGTAAATCACTTTGGTATAGTAAATAAAAAATAAAAAATAAAAAATAAAAACATAATTTGAGTGTTATGTATCTTGTTGGCGCCCCACTCAAACGCAACTACAAGTTTAAATGCATAAGTTGTTAAGAAGGAAAAGTGATGAAGTTACAAAGTAGTGGTCAATTTTTTTGTTATTGTGGTCTTGTCCACAATATTGTATAGACAAATTGTACTTTATTATGTTTTACATTTCACTATGTTCAATTTAATTTCATGGATGTTGGTTTTGTAATGGTATCTTTATTTTTGTATTTTTTTGTATGAGGTTGGTTAAGTTTTAAGTAATGTTTGATTTGTTATAAGTTCTATTTATTTTACATAACATTTTTTGTTGGTAATGATTGTTCCATGTCATATACATTAAAGTGGAGTAGATGATGAGTCTGATTAATATTCTTGCAAGAACAAAAATAACATCAAGCTTTTGTCCCACTACGTGTCGGCTATATTAATCCTTTTTTTTCTATTGTGTCATGCTAAAAGTCAATTTCTCAATTAAATCTAATAAAGAAAGACCATTTCTTATAATATTTTCTAACCCAGTCTTTTTAGGTCTACCTTTACCTTTCTTTATAAGTTAAATCTAATAACTTTACTTTTTTAACTGTGTAATGTGATTAATATTATTGAATTGGAGAAAAAAATGATATACTCAATATTCTAAGAATAAAAGTTTTCATAATACATACAACCATTTGAAAAAAATAATACATAATTCATTAACTAATTTACAAAAAATGAAAACTTCACTAAGTTAAATATATAGTTGTATTACAGAGACAATGCAACATCCCCTGTAATTGTAAATCTTGATTGAATAGTACAATATAAATAGATTTTGTCAAATAGAATGAGTTATATTATATTAACAATATCCCAACAATCTAATTTTGACTTGTGGCCAAGCTTGCCTCTTGCAAATTGAGTAAAAGATAAAAATATATAAGTATAAAAAATTAGTATATATCATGTCACATATCTTATATCTTCGGAGTTCTCAGGACACGTGATCCTATTATGCCCAACTTGATGGCAATAATCATATTTTTTTTTTTCAAAATTATTTGTATTTTCATCAATTGTATTTTTAATGTGCATTAGCCCCTATCAACGTCATCATCTTACGATTAACGATGGATGTAGCAAATTATTCCATTTTTTCATTGTTGAACTTGGACTAGGATTCATGATATGGAATTGTGTTGAAAATCCCTTTATATATTTCACGATATCTTAAAACTTTGAAACACTCTGATATAAATGATGTGCGGTCCACATACCTTATACTAAGAATTGCAATTACATGTGGGAAAGACATGCGGTAAATTGTAGGCCAATTATATACACATTAAATGCAAAGTTTATTTCGATCATTCTATGAGAGTGATGGAAGAGATGCAAGTGCAATGATGATCGATATCAATTTATTCAGCACAAAGGCTCAATAATTATTAAATATAGTGCACTATGCAACTATCAGAGACCTTGCATATGAGATTGGAGGTAGTTCAATGTGCTACATGACAAAGCCGGTAAAATACATATCCATAAATAATAGCACTAATTTCTACTCCAACGCATCCCTATGATCATTGATCATTATTTAATGTGGCATGTGATCAATTATTACTCGGTCAACCCATTCCACAACATAACCCGTTTCCTTCCCATTGCTACATAATGACCTCAAATTTAGTGCAAAATCAACAATGGGAGTACCCTCTCTCTTCTTTATATATATATGTGGGTCTCCGAAAGGATTCCGCTCGTGTGAATTCGAATGCAAAGAGTACGATCACACTATCCCGTAGGACAAAGTGGTCGTAGACCTTTACACTCGACACAAGCAGGCCGATGGAAGAACAGATGGAGTTATAGATACGATTAGCCATGGAGGATAGCGGCTTTCACCTACCAACCTCGATGGATAATAATATCTATAACCCAAAACCGTAATAACATAGAAGAAGACAATATATAATATTGAAACGAAGGCTAATTAAGTAGACATGATGATCATATAATTTAAAAAAATAGTTTTGATGTGTCAAGTAAAGGAAAATAGATTTTCCTTCACCCTATAATCCATGATTTAGGTGAAACAAGTTGAAAGTCTCAAGTCCATAATAGAGTTTTTGAAGTTATTATGCTGTTTGCATTTTATTATCACTTGGGAATATGAAAAGAGACTAAACCCATTCCCAAAGCTAAAACAATTAATATAATGCTAATAAAATTTGCATGAAGAATAACTATTTCAGGCAAGTATCTAGTTGCCGGTAGTTAATAGCTGCACATACACTTAAATTATTTTGGAGCCATGCCTTTTGGGTTCATTCAAACACACTTTATGAACTTGAATGTTGTTATAGTCTTCCCGAGCTGAGCATGCAAAAGAAGGTTGTCATTAATAAAATATCATTCAAAACTTTCATTTGAAGAAAAAATATAGACGAGCGAACAATTAATAACTCGCATGCTAATAACAAAGAACTACACATGAAAAGAACGAAAAAATATATTAAAATGATGGAGATGTATGATGTCTCAACATATTTCTTTGCAAAAATATTAAAATTTAAAAACAAGATATAAAAATAAAAATAAAAGACTTATAAATGAGTAACAAATAATGATGTCATGCTTTAAAAATTATGATTGTTACAAGTTAGAACAAATCTATCTCTCACGTTTTTAGGAAAATAATCACCTAAACTACATATCGACCATTTCTAATGGAATTTGTTAGAATTGGAATTTCAAAAGGGCGTGAAAAATATAAAATTTATAAGAGTCAAATACAAATGAGTCTAAACTCTTAAAGAGACCATAAAATCCGGAGAAGTTTTTATCAAACTCAAAATTAAAAAAAAAGCTAAAAAGTATGAAAAAAATAAAAAAATTGAGAGACTTAAATATACCACACATATATGATCAAACAATTTCATTTTAGCTTAAATTTTATAGGTTAAATTAAAGATAAATTAATGATTAATGAAAATAAAATTTTTATTAAGATAATCATATATTTATTGTGAGAAAATCAACTTTTTGAAAAAATTTTCAGCAGATTTTATTTCATTAAGAAATTAACTTATCTTATTTAAAAATTTTAAACAATAAAAGAATAATGATAAAATAAAAATATAATAACGATTTAATGATTAAAATAAAAAAAATCTATCTAAACAGTAAAACGATAAATTTATGACACGACACGAAACATGACCCGGATATTAATTTTTCAATATAAAAAAGGTACATTTCTCAATCCATGCTACACGTACCGGAACTACCAGGTGACTCACTCCGTTGGCATCTAAACGAAGAATAATGCGCTGTGACAAGTTACTGACAAGAGCGTGATCCCGTCACTTTCGCCTGCGGGCACTCCAAAGTCGGCGTTTTTCCGGCACTACCTTTTCGCCGACCTTGAATCGAAAAGGCTAACGGCGGTCATCGGAGATGGACGATGCGAAGACGACGGCGACGCGAGTCGACCGTTGGGGTTACCAGTTACGAACGAGTTCCGATGCTTGTGTGGTTGCGATTGATGCCTACTACGACCAAGTGCTGTCTTACGGCCGGAACCGCGCTATCATCCTTGATGCCCCTGCCAACGATCCCGCCTGCGTACTCGGCAATGCCCTTGCCGCTCACTTCCTTTGTTCCAAGGATCTGCCCAAGGCCTCATCCCTACTCGTCTCAGCTGCTGCAGCCCTTGTAAATTTCACTGCCTTTTTTCTCTCTTGCTCTCTCAATGTGTTTTTGTGGGTGATTTTCCCTGTATTTCGAGGCAGAAGAATGCCACTTCGTATGAGAAAGCGGTTTATGAAGCAATAATTCTGTTGGTTGGAGACGGAAGGGACGAGGAAGAGGCACTGAGTCGGCACTTTGAGGTCTGGGTATAACTGAGCTTTTATTCTGCTGTTTCATGTGCTTTGCTAACTGGAATAGCCATTTTCATTGCATAAATGTCCGGTAAATAAGGAATCTTGTTTTTCTTGTGGTTCAAGTGATTGGCTTGACGAATTTTTGTGTGAAAGTACTTCCTGACTTGATGCAGAAATTGTTAATTACAATAATTTTGTTTTGCCGGTGTATTCGGATGATTGTGTTAGACTCGAGTAGAGTTTTTGTTTTGCTAGTGAGATCTTCTGGATCTGGAACTATTTGCAGCGAAGATATCTGGTTGACGTTGCAGTTATATTTCTGTTAAATATTCTATATGCCTTCTCAATGAAAAAGTAATTACATATATCCTATACCTTAGTGCTATTGCCTTAAGTTCTGTAACTAACAAAAAGTGTAATTTGTGCTATAGTAACTAAAAGTAAAAAAGCTGCAATGAAATAGTGCTAAAGGAAATCATGCTAAGCAAATAAGGATAATTTGTGTAGCTGCACAACGTAGTTAAGATGATTCACATCAGTGTCCCCCTGTATTAGGAGAATTCAGTTCCAACGAATTGATAGTAGTGGGGGTCTCATCAGGTGGGAAATAACGAGCTATATTTGCTACATTGAAGGTGGAAGAAGTCTCAAAATCAACAGGCAAGTCTATGACATAAGCATCATCACTGATCTTGCGCAGAATTGGAAAGGGTCCAATTTTGGGTGGCTGAGCTGTAGGGAATCTTTCCCTGTGAAGCCTCAACATAACTAAGTTGCCGGGTTGGAAGAGTTGCTGTCGGCGGTGGAGATCCGCTTGAGCTTTGTAGTGTGTTGTGGATGTTTGTAATTTTGCTTGCACTTGTATCATTTCCTTGAAGTGCGTAGCCGTTTTTGCTGCTGTTTGGCTTCGGTATTTGGGTATGATTGCAAAATCAATTAAGTGTTTAGGAACTATAGTGTATAAAATGCTAAAAGGGGACTTATTTGTTGACTGGTTAGGCATAGAGTTAAAAACAAATTCAGTTTGGCCAAGTACTTCTTCCCACTGTCGAGGATGTTGTTAAACTAAACATCTCAACATATTTCCAAGGGTCCTGTTCCCAACTTCTGTTTGACCGTCAGTTTGGGTGTGATATGCTGAACTCAGCTTGATATATGTGTGCAATCTTTTCCATAATTCACGCCGAAAGTGGCTCACAAACTTCACATCTCGATCAGAAGTTTAGCTTCTAGGTAAACCATGATATCTAACAATTTCGTTAAAGAAAAGTTGTGCCACATTGAAAGCATAAAATTTTTTCTTACATGATATGAAATGTGCCATTTTGGAGAAACGATCCACGACTACCATGATCGAATTCTCTCCATGTTTAGTTCTGGCCTTCTGGGTAGTCTTAAACACAAAATCGAGGCTTATGTCCTCACAAATAGAGTCTGGAATAGGAAGTGGAGAAAACAAGCTGGTATTTTGACTTGTTCCTTTTATAGGTTTGGCAAGTGGAACAACGTTCTATAAATTGAGCTACATCTCTTCGAAGGTGAGGCCAATAAACTTTTTTCTGAAGTTGGGTAATTGTTTTGTCTTGACCCACAAGAGCTGCAAGCCTGCCACCGTGCATTTCTCTTATTAATTATTGTCTCCAAGATGATTGCGGTATGCGGGAGAAGACGAAAAAATGCTATACCGAAAACCAAAAAATATTCTATATGCCTTCTCAATGAAAAAGGAATTACATGTATCCTAAACCTTGGTGCTATTACCTTATGTTCTTCGTCTAACAGAAAGTGTAAATTGTACTATAGTAACTAAAAGTAGAAAAGCTGTAATGAAATAGTTCCAAAGGTAATCATGCTAAGTAAATAAGGATAAGTTGTGTAGCTGCACAACGTAGTTAAGATGATCCACATCAAAAAATTTAAGCTTTTATCATTTCTTAATGAATTTTGGCATGTGAGTGAAATTAGAAATTTAAATGACCAGCTAATATAAAAGTGGATTCCACTTTGAGTGAAATATCATGGAGAATTAAATATGCAATCTATAAAATTGTAATTAGACACATTATACAACATTGGTCCTTTGTTGAGCAATAAAGAAGTATTTACTAACCAATTTAAGTGAGGTAAAATAAGAATTTTAAGATGGATATATTATAAAACTAGAAAAAAATAGAGATTATAATATTCATGAATAATGTTGAAAAACTTATTAAAAACACGTGGATGCCCAAAATAGACGTAAATGTCCATGCATGTGAGACAAAGTGCCAAAGATGCATGATAAGGTTGGCATAGATAGTTAATGTAAATGATTAGGAAGGATAAGGGGTTGGCCAAATTTAATATGATTAGAAGTTGATAGAAATCTGTGTTTATTATCGTCAGAAGCATCATATCAAGCAATGTTTTGAGCAAAATTAATTTGATTTTGTTTATTGTTTATATTATTTTATTTATAATTTTATTAATTTGAAACATGTCTATGATCATGGCCTTTAGAAAGGAATGTGTTTTCTATGTGTACATAGGATCATGCTGGTTTGGTTCATGGTTAATCTCAAGATTAAGCACTATTGTTCCAATTTAAATGTTGTTTTGTTATGAAGGATTTAAGTGTAATTATTTGTGGCATAATATTATTGGAAACTTCTTATTATACTTTCATGTACCTTATTATTATGAATGATTCGAGTATTAATTTTTGGGAAGTCATCTTCTTGTACAAACATGAGGCTAAGATTTCTTATTATGGTCAACTCTTTCCTTTATGTAATTTCTTCTACTTATTTGGTTCTTGGTTTGTTAATATTCTTGATTTTGTTCAAACTATGAACAACTAGGATTCTAATTATGGTGAATGAATTACAATTGCTCGCTAATGTAGCCTATTTGGAATTTCTCATTGATTTTTTTAGATTTATTCATTTATTACATCATCATTTGGGTTATATCATATTTAGTAAAAAAAGTAAGTTTATGCATGTTTAGTGGCCTATGGTCTATGAATCCTATATTTTCTTGGTTGATATGTATACTTTTCATCATTTTAGTTGCATCATAAAACCTTTACTCTAAGTCATCTTGCATAGAAAATTGGGGTGGAAAATATATAATGTGGTCAATTTTATATAAGTCATTCGTTAATATAGTATTTTTCCCTATCAATTTGATTATGTGGCTCAATGGCTCAAAAACATAGGAACTATTTGGAAACAAGGGGAGTTTTGAAGCATGATAAATTATGTGGGTTAGAGACACGTTTTAGGCCTGAACACTCATTTCAGAGACACTAATTTTAGTCGTTATTGGCTTAGATGTTATTAGCATGACAACTTGGTTGCATTGTTGTGACATAGGCTTTTTTGTATGCTTTGACCTCTCATCAGTTTTGGCGACTTAAGAATATTTAGGGGAAATGGAAGCATGTTGCATGAAATTGCCTTTTGTTCTTTTTAAGTTTGTATTTTGTCATCCATCAAAGAGGATTTATCTTTTGGTTCTTACAGGGATTGAGTGCCATTTGTTGTGGGTCAGTTTGAAGATAAGGTGCTGCATTTTGTTTTGGCTTTCTTTTGACTTGTTGATGTTATAGCAAGAGGATAAGGATTAATCTTTGGGTATGCATGGTTAAATGTTAATGGCGGACCTTAGTTGAAAATCAACCATTACATGGTTGTTTTTACTACTCATTCTTTTGGACTGCCAAATATTTTAGATTTTATCACACTTTGTTGGCCTAGGGCTATTATTATGTTGGTAGACATAGAGCAGAACATTTGCATCAATTCATTTCGTGTCTATTTTGAGAATTAGAGGCAAATGACTACAAGAATAGTTTGAATTTGTGGAGCTCGACAAACAATTGGGAATATTATCTATTTTGTATGATTAACTGTGACTTGTTAAAGGTAAGATATTTGATCAAGGTATTCCATCTTTTTCTCACCATTGTAATCCATTTGTATGAAGTTTTTGCTCAATTTATAATTTTTTGGGTATTTTAATGCTTATAGTGGACAGATGGTGTTATTTTTCACTACCTCTTTTAACTCAAGAATGCATATTCTTCATTTTATTTACGATGTTTTGTCAGCAACGAGAAGTAATTTTGTGTTTAAACTTCTTGTTAAAATGTTTTTTTTTGTCTAAGTTCATGTTGGTGGTGAGCATTTTGCCAAAGCATTTGCCTGCCACCTGCCATGGTGGGGAAATTTGTCCAAGTCCTAACTTTGCTAGAAGTTTTAGCAGAACTTTTGATTGGCACTCACAAGAGGGTGCTGGAAATGATATTAGGCCTCGTGCTAATGCAAAGAATTATGAGCACGGATATTATGCAAAGAACTAAGTGATTAAGTCTTTTTTACCCATTCTAAAGTTAATGAACATCTGCATTGGCGTGGCGATGAATAGTTTGAAGTTAATAAAGTTTGCCTTTAAATCTTTCATGTCGTAAAAACGAGAAGTCTTCATTTACTATGTTGCCGTTCTAGTAGAGCTTTATTGTTTTCACCTGCAAGCTATTTTCTTTTCTTTAAATTTCGTGCCCCCCCCCCCTCTTTCTCTCTCTTATATTTATATTTATTAGCTGAGAATATATCTCATTTGGTTTACATAATTTTTGAAATTATATCTCATTCAATATATATATATTTTTTTATTTTATCTACTTTATAATAAATAATATTGATAATTTTTTGTTACTAATAAAGCTAAATATTTATTTTAAATATATGAAACATCTCAAAATGCAAAATATAACTTTCTTGTATTATTGTTTGGACAGATTAAAATTATATTTAAGTTAAATCTCTTTTATTAAATCTAAATTGATTTTGACTGATATTTCAAAATATATGTTACTTACTCCTCTATACCAATGTACATGATATCTGATAAATTATTAATTAATCTATAAAAATTTTTCATTCATCACTTAGTTTTGTCATGCTATTGGTTTTCAAAATTCATATTGTTTTGAGTTACACATCTAAGTAGTTTAAGGTTTTGTTTGAGACAACTTTATTTCTGCGTTTGAAAATAGTTTTATAGCACAAAAATTTTAACTTAAAAAAGTATTTGTACTAAAAAACCACTTTAAAAAACCGTAATAAAACTATTGCAAATGAAGCCTAATTTTTATTGTCGACATTTTCTTCTGCTTCTAACCAACTAAGCATCTTTTAAATAAAAGAGTTTTGGTAGCACTCAGAGATATTGTTTGATAAGTAATTAAAGATTGTTTTTCTTGGCTTTAGTTATTTATATCGGTTGATTACATCTAAAATTAAATTGGTAAAAATAATAGGATTATAATATCTAAAAATTAACGCTGAAGTTTTTGTTGAGCTGAAAGTACGCATGGAAGCTTTTATCTTATAGAGCATCAAAACAAGGCAATAAATAAACATAAGTACTTTTGAAAAGTTTTTCCTTATTCATTTTATTGCATCATATTCTTTTTATTATTTAGTAATGTTCTTTTTCTTATTTATTTTATTTATAACTGTTCGTAACAGATGTTAACTTGATATAATATTTTAAAAAAAATGTTTTTAAGATAACCTTATTTTTCTTTGTTTTCATTAATTGAATTGTATGTTGGTCGTGATCATGTCTACTGTCGCAAATTTAAATTAACTTGTTTTCATGCAAATTTATGAGGCAATTTAATAGTAATTTTAACACTGAGTGTGCCTACATGATGCCTTCTTCAAGAGGATTTATTCATCGAAAATGTTATTATTTTTTCCACATATGAAAGTATTCTAAAAATGAGAGTCGCCTTAGATGGTTTGGTCGCATAAAACGTAGGCTTTCCGATGACCCTGTTAGGAGAGTAGATATATTAGATCTAACCTATTTTAAGAAAGAGGTAGATCTAAAAACGACTTGGTTAAAAAGTATTAAAAATAACTTTTTTTATTAGAATTAATTGAGATCTTAATAGGACACAATTGAGAGAAGGATTATGTAGCACACCCCACATAGTGGGATAAAGGCTTCTTATTTTTGTTGTTTTGTGGCAATATTCTAAATACATAAATACAACTATTTATTTATTATATGCTAACTTATTATATAATTTTGCAGTTAGTAAAAGAATATCCTAAAGATTTGGTTTCACTAAAGAGAGCTCAGATTTTATGCTTCTACATGGGCCAGCCACATCATTCTCTGAATCTTGTAGAAAAGGTTCGGCTGATTTTGGAAATCTCCTACCTCTCTCACTGCTTGCTCTATCTCTATCTCTCTCTCCAAATGCACACACGAATTACATCACTTTTTCCAAGCTCACACACTCTGCAGGATTTTTTTTTTTGGGAAAAACACTCTTCACCAACATGTATTTATGCTTGTTCTGTTTTTGCTATCAATTAGCAAGGTGCCATATTAGGCATTAATGATGAAGTTAACCCTTATTGCCATATTTTAAAGGGTTTTTAATCAAGTTGAGCCAATTTTGAGTTTGTACACGTATGATTTGAAGCTGTTTGTTAAAGTTCAGGCACTTCCACATAATCAAGGTCAGAGTTTCATATATGGTATGCTAGCTTTTCCCTTACTCGAGCTTGGAAGAATGGCTGAAGCCAAGTCTGTTGCAAGGAGAGGATGGGAAATCAACAGATTTGACATCTGGTCTCAGCATTGTGTAAGTGTTTATCTATAACTCTACAAACTTAAACTTTTTGTTTAATTTTCCAAAAATTATTTGTGTTCCATTTTACCCCTGAATATCTTGAATATATCAAGTAAAGACTATTTAGATGGAGAGTTTGAGAATTTAAAATTGCAGAGCATTCTAAAGCCTTCAAACATGATAAAGCTAATAAAGTTAACAGAAAGGGATATTTTTCCTTATGCTATGGTATGAACTTTGTTTCAATGCATAACAGAAGTTGGGAGAAATGTGTTTGCATGCATGGAACTCCAGGAAACATTTTGTTGTAGTTTGTCCACTTCACATGGCGAATGCTTTGCCTGCTTTATCCCATGTACTTGTCCTTCAATTTGTTTGATGATTTCTTTCTCTTTTTTTGTTTTTTCTACAAGGAAGTACTGGGTTAAGGATTATATTCCTTCCGCCTCTTATGCTTAAAGTTTTATGTTGGAAAATATCATGAGAGGTATTAATTGCCAGAGGACACGTCTCATACTATCTCTAGCTTCTTCTACGCCTCATCCCCAATCTATTTGGGTGAATCGATAGGTTGATGGTAGGCACCGTCTCGTTCTCCTCTTTCCTACCCCACTCCTCCCTATGTATAAAGTTGTGGAGTAGATTGGTCATGGCATCCAATTTTTGCATCAACTTTATTCGATTACTCTACAACTTGATTTAGTCGCTCCTTAACTCCTATAAAATGACAAAAAATTGCTTAACCCTTCATAAGTGGGCATACGTTGACTTGCAATGGCACATTTGTTGCCTTTCATACTTTCTTTTAAAAATGAGGTACTCACTTTCCTCTTTATAATTATAGTTGGGATAGACTGAGTAGGAATATGTGCAATTGACTTATAGATATTCTCCTTAATAACTCTGTGATCCATAGTAGCATGAACAATTGCTTGTAAGAAACAAGTTATGATTTAATGATCCCTCACATAAAAAGCAATATTTTACTTAATTTAAGATAATGATGAACACTTATATCTTTATCCATAAAAAATATAAAATTTTCTTGCCCGTGGGCACCTTTTTGCTCTTTCCAACTCAATATCCTTGGTGCTCTATTCTCAGGAAAATCAACACATCTCTTTAGCCGAAGGATGGTCTCATAAGCCCAATATTGTAGTGATACTACATATTTAACTACTGTGTGATACTGAGCTGTGATTTTCTTTATCAAGACGTGTGCCTTGTAATACAATATCTATCTTTAGAGCTTATACATTGTAATGCATCATATCTCGTTTTAGCCCTTTTATTGCTTTCTCATGCTAGTCTACTCGGGATGAAAAATGCATCCCCAACCATCTCAGTGAAAATAGCATTGTTTTGGTCATAGTTGAGGACATCATCTACAAAAACATGTAACCTAAGCCTTAACACTTCATCTCTCTTTGTGCACTTATTAAAAGCTTTCCTCATGTTTATATTTTAAAATTTCATGTCCTCATCCAGATAGTTTTCATGTAGACTGCTAGTTTTGCTCATCTTTTGAAATTCCTCCTTAGTTGTGGATTCTCCAATGTGTAATTGCACCCTAATCAATCTTTCTTCATAAACGATTCAAATAATTTTTAAACCACCTTTGAACCATGATTGAGCCATGATCGAACCATCTCCAAATATCTTTGATCATGGTTTGAAGATGGTTTGATAAAAGTTTGATCATTATTCGAAGGTGGTTCAACAATTATTCAATCGTAGTTTAATCATGAAAGAAGATGGTTTAATGATGGTGTGATTATTATTTAAAGTTCATTCTATTGTTGGAAGATGTTTCTAACGAATTCCTAGAAAATAATGTTATGACCACTGACATTTTGGGTTTAAGGTTTAGAGTGTGATCACTATCTTTAATTATAAATAACCAATGACTAACAATATTAACATTCTCGGAGAATAAATGAAGAGAGAACATTGCAATAAAATTTTGTCGTAGACGAACAAGCAAACCCTATAATCTCCAGAGATGGAGAAGATGTTGGGAAGGAGCGTTAAAAAAAAATGTTGGGAAGGAGCGTTGAGGAGTTTATATGATTGAAATGTTGTATAATTATTCATTGAGAGGTCGAACTATTTGTTTAAAGGTGAGGGTATTTTGATTTTGGGGGAACTTTCGAGCATATATCCCTTAAAAAACAACAACAAACATATTTCTTTTATTTTTGTTATAATGGAGCTTATAAGGTTAAAATTCCCTTTTGTTTTCTAAAATTTTGGGAACAACCTTCTTTGTGTTTTCAAAATTTTTGAAAATATAACCAAGCGCCTGTTTTAATTACTTATTAATTCAGATGATTAGAAATTAATTATAATAGTTAGATATTAGTTAATATTATAATTAAGATCATTAAGGTTAATGATGTTTAAGTATTGTAAATAGGGCTAGTAAGTCTTGTTAATATTATAATTTTTTAAATAGCTATATAATTAAAATAATTTATCTTTATATATATTATGATCAAATAGTTATTAATTAGGATTTAATTAATGGCATTAAAATTTTTTATCTTTTAATTATAATAATGAGGTCTAGTCTAGTAAATTAATAGATTGGTGACATAGTTTTTATGTAAATATTTGGCTTGATTTAAGATTAAGTAGGATTTAACAAGATCATTAAGAATTATAGTATTAGATAATGATAATTATGCATTAGATAATTTATTAATTGCAGTAATTGGTAATTAATGATTTATTTTGACGAATTAATGTTTTTACTAAGATCATTAATATTTAATATTATTAAGTATGGTAATTAGGCATATTATTATTAATCATCTGATGATTGTGTAGTGTGATAAATAATTAATGATTTGCATAAGATAATTAAGAGTTAATTAGGGTTTTAAGATCAATAAGATTTTATTAGGATTTAATCATGTTAATTAGGTATGGAATATGTTATTAAAAATAATTACCCATAATAACTAAGAATTATTTATTTATCACATTTAGTTAGAAGTTAATAGTATTTTAATTAAGATTATTAAAGTTTAATAGTGCTTATTTATGGTTATTAAATGATTTATATGTTAAATTATTAAGTAAATTTAGTTTGATTAATTGGATTTTTATAATTTGTTGAAATATTAATTAATTTAACATGTTATTAATCAGTAATTATGATGGAGGCTTTAAGTATTCGAACAGGATTATGATAATTAGTACTTAGATGAATTAATTATGAATTAAATTGACTTAACTTTTGATAGCTACATATATATAAAGATTATATTTTACTTCTGCATGCATGAAATAAGTAGGCCATCCAAACATGCTTTTATTTTAAGTGAAAAACAGAAGAACAAAAAGGAAGGAAAAGAAAAATGTAAAACAAACATATAGCAATACAAAACAAAACAAGCATGGCCAACTGCTAGTTTTTAGTACCCTCTGGTATCACGCATTTCAAACAACATTCTTAATAGGCTCACATTCAAATATTAGGAAGTTGATTTTACACCAAAGAAATTTGTATAGGATAGAGGGTTCATTGATTTAGATTTTGAACACTATTATGATTCAATTACTGTTTTTGTTTCTTAAAACATCAACAAGAAGAAAATCAACTAATGATAGGGAACCATTTTGTATAATTGATGAATCTGTTACCAGTTATCTTGTCTTGTCTAATGTATTTTAGGAGTAATCTTTTTGTTCTATACTTTTACAGCTATGCCATGTCTTACAGTATGAATGCCACTTCAACGAAGCAGTGGAATTCATGGAATCTTGTTCTTCCACATGGCGTTCTTGTTCATCTTTTATGTATGAAGTTTTGCTGCTGCGTATAGGCAATTTTTCTCTAGGAGTCTTTCAGTTTCCATGCAAATCCTCTTTCCAGGTACACTCATAACTGGTGGCATGTTGCTGTTTGTTATTTGGAAGGTAATGCTCCCCTGCGCAAAGTTTTAAAAGTGTATGACGAACAAATCTGGAAAGAACTGCAAAGAAATTATTCTGATCGAGCAGAGGTGCTATTTCAATCCGTTTTTTCTTTTTCTTCTTCTTAAAATTCCATTCCCCTATCTTTATCTTCTCAATTTTTCCTTTGAAATGTGATTTTTCTAATCATCTTGTGCTTTTAGGTGTTTGTAAATGCTTTAGGTCTACTACTTCAGCTTGATGTTCGGGACCAGATGGATGTTATGAAGGATAGACTATTATTGGCAGCTGAAACACTTAAGGACAAGGTGATTGCTTTTTTTTTTTTTTTTTCTTATGTCAATGCTCGTGAAATTCATGATTTTTTTATGATTTAATGTTGTAGAATCTGTCAGTTCAGAGATGATTTCTTAAGTGTTGTGATTAATTTGGCTGTCTTTAAGTTTGGTTAAACTTGAAGACATGGAAAATATTTGTTGAATTTATAAATATTCCATTTAACTGCTGCAACAATTTTACTTGCTTGCTAATTCACCAATTGCATATTTGTATGCAATCTCCTCTTTTGTTAGACTGAGATTGTCTTAATTAAATTTTCTACTTTAGTTTTTTGAAAAAAACTGTCTATCTGCACATGTTTATAATAGTTATTGTGATTGATAAGTTAGGAAATCTATATATTTCAAGTTAGAGTTTTAAGGAAGTATTTATTTGTAAGAGCAAAAGGATCAAAAGTATGAAGCATACAATGGTTGATTAAAAAAAGATTAGTTGACCGAGTTTTGAGTAAGACGCATGATGGTAAAGCTAGTTTATTGCTAAGTCTTAGTAATGAGTTTCGAAAGACTAAGTGTAGAAAAAAACAGTTTGTTATTAGTCTTAATGAATAAAAGTGGTGCTTCAATATTAATACAGAAAAATCTCAAAATAGTCTCTAGATTATTTGTGTGGTCAATTTAATCCCATAGTATCATGTTGCTCTAATTTAATTCATTGGATATACAAAATTTATTCAAAATGATATCTTATGTTATAATTTTAATATAAAATTGATCCAAATTTAGAACCAAAGAGACCAATTTGGATCAATTCTATATAATCGAAGGATAAAACTGGAGCAATGTGATGCTTTGAGACTATATTAACTATATATGAATATTCAGGGGACTATTTTGAAATTTACTCCCATCTTAATATGTAGAAGAATTGAACTTAATGGAATTATAGAAGAGGGTATAATATAGGAATGATGTTTGCTTTGTAGTATAAATTTGATTTTATTTGGTAACATCTAATAAAATGGCCATTTTTGTGCTTTGGAAATTAAGGAGAAAATATAAAGAAAAGAAAAAGGATCATTATATGTTTTTTCTCGATCTTGAAGTTTCATATGAATTGATTTTATGGGCACTATTCAGAATAAATTTCTCCAATTTTTATTGAAATTACTAAAGTTAGGCTTTATGGAGCATTGCTTAGCATCAACAGTTACTTTGTAATGATTAGACAGTTTCCAGATGGTAGGATATATCATTGATAAGAAATAAGTTCACACCTTTTTTGCAGTAGTTATGAAGATTCTTATAAAGATATTTAAAGAGAATATATTCATATTTGCTATTTGCCAACATAATTATGCTATATTTTATCTTTTAAAAAAATGAAAAATAAAAAAAATTGAGAAACTTCTTAGAAGCAGAGTGGTTTCAAATCAGGCAACTAAGGCTGAGTATGATATACATTGTAACTGCATGGGAAATTGATAACTATCAGTTAGTATAACTGGAAGATCAAGCAGTATCTATGATGAGGACATCGACAGACGCTACCGACATGTTTATCGACGGAGGAATCGCAGATCTACGGCTACGATTCAGCGCCTCTACTTTTGATTCAGATTTCATGACGTGTTATTTAGTTATTTGATGTTTTCCATTTTTACCCCTTTGGGGAGTTGTTTGTTATTGTAGCCCAAAGGGCAATTTCGTACTTTTTTTTTCATGAGTGGAGACCTATATATAGTGGTCTCATATGTTGTAATGTGTTAATGAATATTTGAATGAAATTTTGTTTTTGTTATCTTCTTCTTCTTCTTCTTGTGGTGCACTAGAGAGGAGAACGAGAGCCCAAGGTGAGGGCAAAAGCAATGCCCGCCAGTTATTGAAAGAGTCTGTGACTCGTGGTCTATCCCCTTCATCCCGCTCTTCTTTCTTTTCCTAACCTGCCGGCCCTAGCTCTTCCCATAGCCGCCGACCACACTTCCGTTCCCGTATCCCACACATCATTTCACCCACTAACTTCCCGACGGCAAATCCCCCTCCTCCTCCTTTAGCCGCTGGCCACATGCTTGCCTCAAACCATGATGATGAGGTCAATCATCATAATGGATCCTTGATTGAGGTCTAGCATTAAATGCAAGAGTTACTGAATTTTGAAATTCGAAACTTTCCTTATTTAGAGAAAACTTTCCTTATTTGCGAAATCTAAATAAGGAAAGTTTTCAAACTCAAAATTCATATGAAACCTATTTGGAGGACTCATTAATTTCCCTCCAATTATTCGTTCCTATTTGGAAAGAGCTTGATTCCCCTTAATCCCTCTCCTCTTCCCCTCTACAAGACGTCGGGCCCCCTATGGTTCCTCCCCATTAATTCCACTTTAATTTTCCCCTCTCTCTCATTAATTTGATTTTCAAATTAATTTCCCCCCAAAACCCCTCAAATCATGAAATTAATTTCAGGATTAGCATTAATCCATCCTCCCTCTCTCTTGAACCCGCCGGCCACCCCCTTAATGGGCTCCCATTGATTGCCCATTACTCCCTAGCCTCATTTGAATTTTGAAACTCATTTCAATTTGGATTTCCCTCCAAATCCACTTAAAACCTGAAATTAATCTCAGGTTTTTGGATTAAAGATCTATTGCTCTTGGCCTAAACCTAATTCCCCTCTTGGAGATCCCGTTGCCCCTCTCTTCTCCCTCTTCCTTCCTCTCAAACCTCAAGTGCTCTCCTTCACCACATCATATCTCCTTCTCTCCTTATTGGTGTTTTTTTTCAACGCCGGCAAGAATGCATGGCGGATCTCGAGATTGACAGCGGATTTGTGCTCGACACCTACAGCGACATTCACATCACCCGCTCACCGTTCTTCGACGTCGGGTTCGGCTTCGACGACACTGTTGATATTTGAACCACATCCTTCCCACTCTCGGAGAAGTCCTAGACGATCAATTCCAAGACTATGATTGGATCATCGTCAGCCACCCACCATCCTTATCACCACCGGCTACCGATCCGTCAACAAAGGTCTTTGGCATCGTTTTCCTAGTGGTAATATCATTCTTCGTATGGTTCATCTTTCTCCGCCAAAGCCTACAAGTAGTTGAGTGAGAGGGCCCTTGAGGTGAACCTCTCGTTGTTAAACGTTGGATTATGTTATGTGTACTTAGCATTTACTCTTGTCTTGAATTTTGATGGAATTGTTTAGTTAATCTCTATTGCACATCTTTGGCCTAAGCAAGTTGACAACTTAAAATTCATAATCTTCTTTTATGTGCTAGTGGTAAATTTTATGAGCAAAGTTTTATTCAATTGTCTTTCTAATTTCTAATGGTAACTCCTAGTTGTTTCACATCATTCTTGGTATCAGAGCATGGTAGGCATGCATGACATGTTAGAAAAACATCCTAGGGTCTTATCTTGTGTTATAGTTTAATTTTTTTTCATGCATATCATCGCATATCTAAGTTTATTCACTGTTTTTCGCTGCTGTTTTTACAATTCCTGCACGCATCTAGTTGAGTTAGGTCATACTAACTAGTGTCGTAGTGCTGCCCTTTTGTCCGTAACATTTCTAAGTGTTTAGAACAACTACACCTTAAAGTTAAACTGCTGTCCTCACTGTTCCTGCAACATTTAGACGTCCTGTAGTGAACTTTAAGTCAGTGTTTAGGTGCTGTCTACACCATAAGGCCTTCCCAAAACACCTAAGTGACCTAACCTGTAGCTGAACTTTGCTGTCCTGATCATTCCAGCAGTATTTGAAGACTTTTGGAACATATTTCTAGAGTGATTAGCTGCTGCCCTTGACTTAGGAACTCTCCCTAGTGTCTCCTAGCACCCAACCATGGATCCGGAACACATTCAAGCAACCTTAGACTTGATTGTGGGCCAATTGGGAACGGTTACACAACAAATTAGGGATACCCAAACGAATTTAGCTGAGTTTAGATGCCAAACGGGTGATAGACTAGACAACATGGAGAGGATAGGAAACCCTGCCATCTACACCCCCTCTAGACCCCACTCTCCTTATGGAGACGACAACCGCACTGAATACGGACCTCCTAGAGACCACTACCGACCCAATCACCGACCCAATCAAGAACCGGTAGGACGTGACACACCTTGGAGAGACAACGATACCCAACTTCTTAAGAGTATTAAGATAGATGCCCCGACTTTTGATGGTACGTTAGATCCCCAAGTTTTCCTTGATTGGCTCAAAGGGATAGATAGTTATTTTAAGTGGTACAATATTTCGGAAGAGAGAAAGGTCCGATTCGCTGAAATGAAGTTGACTGGTAGAGCTAACTAGTATTGGGCCAACCTATAACACATGCACGAAACCCGAGGAGAGTACCCCGTGACTGACTGGGGAATAATGAAACAAGAATTGAAACGGAAGTACCTTCCCCCATTCTACTACCATAGGCTAATGGATCGTTGGAATAGGTTGACCCAAGGAAACAAACCCGTGAAAAGAATACATTGCGGCCTTTGATGATTTCATGATATGCTGTAACGGAGAAGAAACCACCACTCCTGCCCAACTTCTGTCGATGTTTAGAGCTGGATTAAGAGAAGATCTTAGGAATGAATTGTTTGCGAGAGGAGTGAACACGTTTGAAGTTGCCTGTAGTCTCGTGTTAGATCTGGAAGAATCTAGGAGTCACACTTCTAGAAACCCCGACCCTCACCCCAACCTGTTCAGGTCTTCCTCTAGCCAATTGTCCAACAAAGCCGCTGGGCTCTTGAGTAGTCGACCTTCCCCGAATCAAACCCAACCTCGTCCAAACTATAAAGACAAAACACCAGAACGGGAAGCTCCCAAAACCTCTGCCGGCACTAAGTGTTTTAGATGCCATGGATACGGACACATCGCCTCCCAATGTTCCAGCCCGTTTAAGGTCACTATAATTGAAGAAGTCACAGAAGAGGAGGATGAACCGGACACCGAACTAGTTCATCATATTGATGACGACGAGGAATTTTTCCACGAAGAAGATACTGCCGTGATCCACTGCC